ATGAGTGGCAGAATTATTAAGTTTTGGAAATTTTAAGATGGAAATAATCATGTTTTTCTTACAGTTAGGATGAGTAATAGAAATAGCTTGAATAATTGTCACAACTGTAGAATCAAAAGTGTCCAAATGGCTTAAAGCTAAATCTATCTTTTTCACAATTAGAAACATATAATTATGGACATATTTATTTGCACTTAGATTTAAGGTAGAAGTCTATACGGTATACACATACAAATAACTTTGTAACACAGTTCTCTATTATTTTTTAAAATTTACTTTAAAATATTTTATATATGGAAATACTTAAATTCTTGTATGTTATCCAGTTACTGAACGTCTAGAAAACCTATGTCTAATTGTAAAGCTTGTAAAGACTTACAAATATTCTATAATTCAGCGCATTAACTTTTATTACCCATTCATCTAAAACATGCAGCTAGTAAAAAAGTGACAACTACAATGGGAGCATAGGGTCATCTCAATGACCAGCACATGAACAGTCTCAGTTCTGGACCATCAATAAGCATTTTCAGTGACCAGCTTGCCACTGACAACTGCCACTTCTAATTTTTTAGTTAACTTTGGGAGAGGAAAACAAACCAACAAACAAACAAACAAAACAACCCAGCACTTCAAAACGTTGTACATGACCTTTATTCTCACCTTTCATATACTGAGAATAATCTCTTACCTAGATTCAACGTATTTTGCATTCACATATTGCTAACAGAATTATTCATATTAATAGACTTCTAAGAAAACAAATTCAGGTTCTTCGTATTAGATAATTATCATTAACTACAAAGTACTAGATGACTACCACTCCTCAGCTAGATCATTGCATGCATATTCCATTTGATTCAGAATAAATGTCACACACTCCTTCACTCGAGTTCTCAACTATAATTATTAAAGTCTTAAGAACCAGCTCTGAATAAAATCAAGAAAAATACCCCATAAACGTTCACATTTTGTAGAAGTTGAATTTCACATTCTGCAGAAGTTGAATCATGTTCCAAAAGATTTAAGTCTGAGGGGAGAGTTGAGGTTTGGGAGGGTTCTGGTTATTGCATATTACGGTATGTATATCAGGAATTGAGTGGTGTCAAAATGCTACATGGAATAAACTTTGCAATTTCTCTATTTCAGCACAAGTTAAAGGAAAAAAATTCTGATATTTCTCTTGAATTATATGCATTACACTTAATTATAAACTACCATATATTGCCCCAATATGAGCATGGAAGCACTCCTGTTTGATCTCCTTATACTGCAGTACGTTAGAGGATCCTATTCTTTTCCTGCTGGGTATATCATAGTCAGCTGAATCCCAAGGCACTTTAAATTATCCATGGCATGCACCATCAGCCTAACAGACAGCAAAATTATGCATATATGGGGTCCTATAGCTGGGCTAAATTAGTTGCATATGGAAATCTCACCTATTGACTTAAACATTTGCTTATATAGCTTATATTTCCTTTTTCTCCATTTGGACTTTCCTTTTTTCTCCATTGGACTTTGTGGGGAAGCAGATCTGAACGTCAGCGATTTGATTTGCCTAAGCTAAAGACAGTCATCCACAGCGCATATGCCTCTGATTATGGCTTTTACAGAGCCATTGTGAAAGGAGCCAGAATTTACCCCAACATGTATTTCCATGTAGCAATAGGCATGAGGGCACTGCTGGAACTATATTCACTGTGATACAAAAATTTAATAAAGGAGAAAAAAGCTTTGATTTCTTTCAGTGATCCATATCATTATTCAGCATGAAGAATTTATCTGTTAAAACATTCAGCAGTACCTTTGTCTGTCGATAGCAGCAGGTTGGTGCTTTCTGTGCAAGAATAAGATAGCTGTGATTTCTTCTTTGGACCTGCTGCCCACCTTCATCGGACTTGCAGTGTCAGTTTTATTTGTAATGTAAGTCTCCAACACACTCGGGAAGCATTTCCTTTTTAGTTGTTGTAGGTCTTAGAAAAGCTGTCTGACCTAGTCAGCTCTCAATCACTTAAAGCAAGATTTTTGCACTGCTAGCTTTGATCTCCCTATTCTTTAGAAAGAAAAAAATGAAAGTGCTGACATAAAAAGATTAAATCATATTAAACTGAATCAAAGAAAGTGTCAGCTTTACTACTTACTAGGAAAAGACCAGGAAAGCAATATTCTTACCTAAATTGGGTTTGGACTGATCTAGGAGTTGAGCAGTTCCAGCAAGAGTCAGATTCAACTCCCTAATTTGTAAGATTTCAGACTTCAGTAATTCAAATTTCACAAGGACAAACAAGCTCAGAAGGCACCCAAATCTCTCTGCTGGAAATCGTTTTACACATCTTCCACTACCCTGGGGGAAATTTATCATATTTGGTCGTGACTGATCCAAACCAAAGAAATGCGATCTTTCTTTCAGGACAAAAAACTATACAGGAATTTAATATGTAGCCAGTTTCAAACTATAGTTCATGAGTTTTGCCGTCCTGTCCACTACACCTCCACTGAATTTGTGGTACTTAGATTTAAGGTTCAGACCTACAGTTTATTTTTGCCCACCTCATTCTATAATTGTATGAAAATTAAATTAGGACCTCAAGCAATCTGCTCTATGGTTGGCAGAAGCCCTTCTTTTGACTTAGTGGAATAGTCCCTTGAAAGTATGAAAACCATCTCCCTGGTTTCAATGTTGAGCATTTCAGATATTCAGCTGATTTTCTAATTTTGAGCTGAATTCCAGTTTATCATTCAGGGTGAATGGCAGACTTTCATGGAAAAATTTGCAGTTGAAATAACATGAAGCTTTACTAATAAAAATCTCACAAGAGAAGCTACTGTTTAAAACCAACTGTCTTTGATCCAAAATCCAGGGGTGTTAGAAGAAGAGATATTTCTGTGTGATTTATGAATTTAAGGATTCTTTTATCAGTAACATGAATTACATTTTCTGTCCAGACGCCTTGTTTAGGATTTTTTTTTTTTTTTAAGTATATTAAAAAACCTGAAAAATATTCAAAATACTTTTCCTGGAGCTTACATACTTTAGCAATGAAGTAATTCAAGGAAAGGGAAAATATCTTCTGAGACAGAACCTAAAACACTGGAACTCAATTAGATTTTGACCTTCTTCAGCCATAAAGGATTGGTAGACAGACATTGTTTGCTACTTACCTGAAATAAATTGAGTCTCCTGAGATGCATATGAAGCAATTTAAAAAAAGAAAAACACTGTTAACTGAATTTACTCAACCATCAATCTGAAGTAAATCTTATTTACTGTATTCATCTATTAAACTAATATAATGTTTCACATTTTAATCAGAAAAAATGACATTTAATTAGTGTTACACAGCCAAACCTTGAAAAAGCTTTCCTATCTAAGCATTCAGCTAGGCTACCATTTTTCAGTCTCACCACAGTGAGTCTTGTACGCTTTTATGCTTCCCTTGGTCTAAGCAAGCTGCAGGACTGCTTTATTAATTTAACTCCCTGGCACACTTCCTAAGCAGGAATATGCATTCTTGTCATAATTTCATACAAATGGGACCTTTTGGCTCAGCCTCCTTACAGCCCAAGAACTGGCACAATCCCCTTTCCCAAATCCATCCTCTAAATTTCCTTCTGTACATTTTTTTTAAGGACTTGCATTGGTTGTAAGAGAAGTACAAGTTTATATAGGAAAAAAAAAAAAAAATCAGCAAGCCAATCAATCATGATGTCAGCAATTTACAGATCTAGAGATACCAACAGAAGAAAAATAAACATAAAAGCCCTGTGTGCATCTTTTTGCCATACATTCCCTTCTAATTTTTTCATCTGAGCAAGAGCTCCGGTAATGTTCTCATGCCGAGTAGTTTCAGACTGACTCACAGATGCTTGGCTGTGCTTTGTACATTGTTTCTTCCACCCTAAGATCCTGAAATTAAGCAGGACACTTTAAAGATAGCATACTTCTGCTTCTACCCAAATTTCCTGCATCTGCCTTCTTTTGCTTTCACTTCCACTACTTCTTTCTCACTCTGCTTTGTAAGATTGACCTTTTGTGACCGGGGACCTAAGAAACTTTCCACTCTCAGTCTCATGAAGAAACTAAAGATAACCAGTTTCACCTCAAACACGGGCATGTCGTTGTGCCATGGCATTTCTGCCAAGATGGTGACTGTTGGGGTTAAACGGCTCTTCAGTGTTTTGGGTCTTGAGAAGCATGGCAGAGTTCTGATACTATGCAGCAGACTGTATATACCAAGCCATTCTAATGATAAAGCAGTTTCATAAACTCATTCACACTGATCCATATGTACATGCAGACAAACTCTATAAATCTTCAATTTTTTTTTTTTTTTTCCAGGATTTGATTTCACCTTTATGGAAATAAGCAACCTGAATTCTGATTTTAAAAAAGAATAGTGGGTCAAAACCACATCAACAAATCAAGCCTTAAAGAACAGTCTTCTGAGTCAGCTTACAAAGCCTAAAACACAGATATTTTTTAATATTTAATCATACAGAAGAGAATTAAAGCAGCAGCATTGCAAAATTGTCCATTTAAAATCAAATTCTTCCACCTCAAAGTAGACTGCCCCCTCCCCTGCTCATCCCAGACTTATATTGCAGCAGTTCACTTCTAAGTCACTGGTTCTCCAATTTCAACTATCAGACAACATATTCCACTCAAACTGACATTAGCTGCTTTTCACAGGAGCCCCAAAGACTCCATTTAGAAGAGGCAACAGTTTACTCAAAAACTGTTTCATAACTTTTTCTCTTGCCACAATACAAAAGGAGTTTTTAATCATTAAATGTTCATTTATTTTATGCATGTATAGGCTGAAGTCTGTGACATGGTCTTGTCTGAAGTACCTAGCATCATAATATACATTTATCGAAAAATTGGTTAATCAATGTCAAAATGTTTATCTTCTTTTAACATGCACATTAAGCAGCATTTTCACATTCTTTTGGGAAAAACAACAACAACAAAAAAAAAACACAAAACAAACCAAAAAGAAACCAAATAAAGAGAAAGAGGAAATAGGTCATTAAAAAGATACTTGAGAATTCCTCCAGCAGCAACCTGCAGGCATAAGGGAAAACTCATTGTCAAGTATGATTTATGAATCATGTTAAATTTACTTAAGATAACTGGGAGGCAGACTAGTACACTAATAACATCTTTAACATAAACCCCTGTGGAATATAGTGCAGCCCTTATACAGGAAAAAAAGGCTAATATAGATTGCCACAACACAAAACTGAATTAATACAGAAGTCAAAAGGTTCTCAATTTGTTCTATTAAATACAAATATTGGGTGATAGTATAGCTATTGCTACCATTCAGTGGATTTTTCTTGTCTTTCCATGTAAAAATTAGATATTAAGTATGCATGCAAGAGATTACTATAGTCAAATGAATGTAGAACTACCACAAAAAAACCCCAAAAATCCGCTATGTACTGGGACATTTCAGATTTTTTTTTTTTTTTTTTTTTTTTTCTTTTAACAAAGCTGCATTAATTAGGCCATTTATATTATAACATTCCAGTTAATTAAAAAGCATGACTTTTTGGCAGATTTTTGGTCTGCATGTAACCAGTTTCTTGTTTTACTGAGAACTGCGAGTATTCCTTCTGGCCTACAAATGCAAACTCACCTCTGCTTCTACTATTTGTTTCTCATACATAAATTGTTAACAGCTGTAAAGTTATTGCATGTTAAATGCTCTTATATATACAAAAATACACAGACATATATGCTGCTGAAGCTGTATCCTATTCTAAGCCTACACTGGTGGGTGGTCGTGATGAACAACGGGAGATTCTTGTGAAGAATGCGAGACTCCTTGCTGTTGTGTAGCAAAATTAATGAATACCTGTAAGACATGAAAAAAAGCAGGACTTTGAAAAATAACAGAACTTGAACCAAAACTTTGGAGACACAGCTGATATATTTTTCAGTTGCTTTCCTAAGCTTTTGTGACACACAAATTAATAGAGTATGTTAAGGGAACCCCTCTAGAGATATGTTTGGTAAACTCTAGAAATAAACTCTCCTCACCCCTCTAGGTAACGCAGTGGTTGATGAATTATAAAAATAATGGTAAAATGAGTGACTAACTTATGCATGAAAATTATATTTTATTGTGCACAAGTTAGTGGGAAACAATTGCTTTAATTTGCTTTGAAATGACACACTTAAGGGACTTTAGCCTGCTGTTTCTATCAATAGCCATCACAGATGAGGGTCCAGGTATTTCAAGGTGAAAATATACTTCTCAACACTGCAGAGTGATGATTCAACAACTAATGTGCTTCCTTGATTTTTTTTTTCTTAAACAGATCTTACTACAGAAAGATTTGTTTGCTCCTTAATCACACGACTATTTGACATCAAGGAATGTAGAGGGAAAGATGGCTATTATTTATTCAAATTATCACATACATGTGCAAACAAACTTAGGATGCATCCTGTTATTCAGGAGAACTCTTCTGTTTAAAACTGACAGTCAGGGAGAGGAAACAATGGTAGGTGACTGAGGTGATGAATCACCATGAGAGGAAATAAGCTTGAGTGAACAATGCCTGAATAATCAACAGGCTGAAATTACCTTATATTCAGGCATTTGGTGAATAGATCAAACACTTAATAGATCTGTACAGATCAGAGTACTTCACTAATGATTTGCATGTGGCAAAAAAAGAAATAAGTTCACACCATCTATCATAGAAAATGAATATTTTGACTAGATGTGCCTCTCTCAGTTTATAGAACATATATCAAGAGGTTGCATATGAAGATGCTGTAACACATCACAATCACCCAGAAATCCCATCCTGGCCATCAATCTGTTCTTCCTTTTGCCCAGATAGGATTTCACAGCCTTTAGTAGTGGGATCTATTCTGTCTGCTTGTGCATTTCCACTGTTTTCTAATGTGTAGCGTGATATTCATTGCAGAAGAAAACTCTCAGAGGAAAATGTCCTGTAAGTCTAAGGGTTTTACCGTAATTTACAGAGACTGGGTGAGCCTTTTCAAGGACATTGGTAAGATCCCAAATTTTGGACTGTAGAATTAGCAGTTCACAGTTCTATCTTCTCATCCTGTGCAGATCTAGATGCGTCTAAGCACTGATTTTGTTTGCACACAATACAAATACGTGGCTTACTGGGATGCTTTTACTGTGCTCACCTCCAGTGTAAAAAAAAAAAAAAAAAAAAAGCAGAGTTCATGAAACTACTTTGTAATCTCGTACACTTGGGTAATCCAGAAAGTGATACAGTATTCTACTACATCAATAATTACAATACACAGCATGTTTAGATTAAAAGAAAAAAAAAAAAGAGAGAAAAAAAACAACACCACAAAAAATACCTGCTCTAATGTTGTTTGGCTAATGGAGTAGTGTTTGATTTGGAGAAAAGCTTTATGATTCTCTAGGACTCTGAAGAGCTCTGCTAAGCATCCCTGACTTCGTGGTACGTGGTACTCGAGCAGGTTAAGATGCTGTCCCTTCAAACAAGCAAAAAAAAAAAAAATAAAAACAGGTAAAAGTGAATGCACATTATCACGAAATTACACTTGCTTCTAACCAGTTTGTCTTCAACAGGCTCTCATTGCAGATTAACATGGAAAATATGAGCTTTTAAACAAGAATATATTTTGTCTACATTGGTAGCGCAAAGAAATCTTCATCCTCACAGCACAGATTTTGTGCATGTTCTGAGAAGTGAGAGAGACAGACATGGCAAATGACTGTCTCAAAGCTTATTTGTGTGTTTGTGTGCTTTGAGTCATGGAGTGATGTCAGTAATGCTTCAACCATTCATCAATGACCAACAGTAGCCTTTGTAATTAATCTAAGGACTGTCACCCAAGGAAGCAGGAGTGTATCGAAGGAGGCACCCTCCCACTCACTTGCAGATGTATTGACAAGCTCCTTAGATAAACCTCAAAGAAGTGGACTGAATGAAACCGGGCGTTTCTCATCAAGTGCAAGGACCGCTGATCACAGGCCACTGTATAAGCCTGATACTTTGTGGCTCTATTGTATTGCTGATGACTGAACCTTTGCCATTGAACAGATAAGAGGTGGGCTTCTGCCCCAGAAGCTGGATGATTGCTCAAGAAGCATTAAGTCAGCAAAAACCTGTGGGAAACAGAAGAAAAACTAAAGGTGGGCAGATACGCTAATCGGTTGATAAAACAAACTTAAAAGGCGACAGAGAACTTCGCTTGGTGTGCACCCACCACCAAAGAACTGAAGACTGAGGACCAATGGGATGTCGCTGGATCCATGGTGGTGACTATTCTTGCAGTCCTATCCCTCATCCTTGATTTATTTCTGCCTTTTCTTTCCATTCTGTCCTATTCACTACCCCTCTTCACTTTTAATGATAAAAAACTGGTTTGGGTGTATGGCATTTTAACTCGTTTGTGTCTTAATCTTGCTCTTGGGATCGTATTGAAACCTCCCCTGACATTGGATGGGGACAAGATGACATTTTGTAAATCTCAAAAAAGATATATATATAGGACAATTTTATGCTATAGGATTTTAACTCTTACAATGCAGTCTGGGAAAAGGCTGAAAGAACACACACGCATACAAATATATACACAAATTGGTTTGTATCTAAAAGTAGTCATAGTTTTACATGATTCTTTTCCTAAACATGGGTAAAGTAAAAAAAAAAAAAAAAAAAAAAAAAAAAAAAAAAAAGAGGGTTTGAGGGTTTTTCTTGGAATGTAATTAGTATAGGTATTTTGTAAGGCTTCATATCAAATAAAAGAATCTCGGTAAAGACCGAGACTTATCATCTCCGGATCTTATCGGAAAGCAATCAAAGCAAATACTCTCAGTGACTACCTTTCACTCCTATTCCAGGTGAACAAAACAGTGAGTTCAACTTCATCAACAATAAAAGCAAAAGGAAATTTTCACTCAGAGAAAGAGCCTGTTTACCTACATTGCCTAAATGACTATTTGGAGTTGATTTAATAAATACTACAAGTCAGATTTTTAAAAATTGCTTAATAAGAAAATAAAAGAGATGCTCATATATACTTTTTCCAAAAAGATCAATATATCCAAATGCGTATATGTTATTCTTACCAGCCCACACTTAGTCTTGCCATAGAACAAATATTATGATGAGAAGTTTTAGCTGTACCTTAAACTGTGTTCCAGGAAAATGCAGTTGTAGACAGTCCAAAATCATTCTTCGATAGCTTATTTCTTTACTAAGCCAAACCTTGACAAAATAGCCATCTCCAAACCTGAGAATGACACACAAAAACATAAATCCACTTGTCTACACTATGAAGACAGGAAGAACATTTTCTTCAATTGATTTTCCTATGCTTATGTCAAATGATATCAGGTATGACTGCTGTGATTTTAGTATTATACTATTGAACAATAGAATTTCAATGAGAAAACTGCTAAATTAATGATAAGAAACAGAAATTAAAAAATTGTCTGTTATGCCTATGTTTTAATTACTACAGGATATTTCACTGTCCAATGTACCTGCACTTACGTTAACTAAACTGTGCTTTAATTGCTGTATTGCTTGGAATGGTTGGCAAAAAAACTGTGAAGATTATCAATCACAAATACAGAAGAAAATAAAAATCCTTTAAGGATAAAAAAAATGGGCATATAGCATTATTTTTTCAAATCTATTAACAAAGCTGCATATTCATATTTCAGCAATGTGAGTACAACTCTGTTTTACAGATACACAAAGGCAAGTACAGGGATATTTAGGGAAATGGCAAAGTTAATTGATTTTCTTGAGCTCTATGGCCACACAATCTGTCTCAGGATAATTTAGGAAGTGAACTTTTATTTCTCAACATACATGTGATAAAAGTTAAATACAGGCAATCTAACCAAGATTTTTATTAAATGTACTGACTGCTGATATTTAGTTGGGGAAATTGCAATAAACCCATAAACACTGAAATGGCATCCATATTCTTATATGCATTGCTCAGACAATGGAAGTTATGTTGCACCAGTTCCTAGAGCAAGGTGAAAGGGCAGAGCTCAGCAGAGAGCTGGTGCAACAAAATTCTGCTGCTGTGCCCCTGCCCTCCTAGGTATCCTTCGCAGCTACACGTCCTCCCTTTAGGTTCACCTTCTTGGTTAATCGCAAAGGAGAAAAGAGGAGCTGGAGTTAAGTCAGAACTTTCCCCTTCCCTGCTGTTCCCTGTTTCCAGTGAACAATGGAAAGGCAGCATTGGTAGAAGGACAGAGAGCTTGGACTGCACTGCCCACATTCCCCCAGAAACCTGCCACTTCCCCCACCTTCCCACTGCCCACCACTCCTTCATCCTCCACTCCAGTATTACTTCCTTCTCTTCATTCTCCAGCTTCACAATTCCTCATCAACAAATCCTTTACTCTAGTTCTCTGGTTTCTAGTGACTACCCTTGGTATTACTCCCTCATGCCAATACCCTTCTCTCCCATATCTTTTATCTGTAAACCTTGTGATTCAGGGTAGCACCTGGGTTAATTGGAACTGACAGGTGTGAGGCACACTTTCATGTGATCAAAGCAGCATTATATATCACAGTACACTCTATGATGCTGCCCTTTTCCTATATAGAAAAAAAAATCTATATAATATCAATCAAAACATAATAAAAAATAAAGGATTATTCTGAGACATATGTCCAGTTTAACCACTGTTTGAGAGACTCCTGGAAAATATTTCACATGAAGCACTGCATATTCCTCATCTGTAATATGTGTATAGCAACATAAGGTCTTTAATTTTTATTTTGTGTTGTATCAGAACCACTGTTGGTATAAAGAAATAAAGTCTTCAATGATTTCAGATCAGGGGCAAGATTCCACAATGAAAAATTCTAAGTTGCAGATTTCATTCTATTAAGAGTTTCACATGAATTCGAAATATAATTTCCAAGGATCTTTCCAGACAAGAATCTTATTTCTTGGTGTAGAATGAAACCATAGTTGCTATACTTTAGGTATGACAGTGGCAGCATGTGCATAAAAAGTTGCACTGTGTGAAAAGCTCCTTTACAAATAAATATTGTAGGGGTTTTTTTTTGTCTTTGGTTGGGTTCTTTATTTTTTATTGATGTCAAATGCAACCACTGAACTAATTGAAACAGAGTAAGAAGAAACATTCCCGATGCAGTGTCCTGTTTATTGGCTCCTGAAAGACATTATATGAATTAAATCCTATTGGGTCCAAGCTGCAGGGTACTAAATATTCACTGGGCAGTGTGACCTGACAGACGAACAGTGCTGTTACAAACAAGGAGATCCAGAATAAGGTGGAATCCAAAGCAGTGGGTAGCTGCTTTGCCTTCCAATGATTTACTAACACATAATAGACCTGTAATTAAATGTTTTAAATGCATAGCATCATCCCTGAAAAAATACATGTGACAGTAAAAAAAGGTGTTGGAAAGATGGATATAGTTACCAATGGTGTTCAATTTAGCTGACAGCTAATTTGAGGTAACATTTTACAAGAGATCATTGATTCTGATCATTTTTTTGGCATCTCTATAAAGTCACCATTGAATTACAGTTTGAAAAATGCTGGTTTATGAGATGTTCAACAGTCTCGTAAAATGGAATTGTTGTATACAATGAAGTTTTGAAAGAAGATTAATCAAAATTCTGATCAGCAAAGGCAGATAAGTCTGTGCAACTTTACTTTCTTCAGCATGTACAAACAAAAAGCTTTAAAAGATTTTTTTTTTTCTTTTGGCTAGTCCAATTATGATGCTTCTGTACCTTGATTTTGTAATTCAGTTTAGTACAAGAGCTCCCCATATAGAGTAAGCTGACCAGCAATAAACATTTCCCCCCGCTATAATCAGCAAGCTGCTTTCAGTAGCAAACTGAGGCAATGGAAATTGAGTTGACCATTTTTTTCACTCTGTTTTCCTCTCTGATTCAGACAATATAATTAATTCAGAAACACAAAGTGAAATTACAGAGAAAAGCACAATCTGGTTTGATTAGCACTGTTAGGATCAAACCTTTAGCACCTGATAGTTCAAGACCTAAAGAGGGAAACATTATCATTAAAATGGCATAAGTTGAGCCAGCACACCTGTTCAGCAGCCATCTGCTGCAAAAGAATCACCATCTCTTCGAACGTATTCAACAAAGATATTTACCACTGCTAATTCCTACCACTTACTTTAACACCTGCATTTTTATTTGTGTATACACACACATAGAAACATATTCTGACAAAAAAAAAAAAAAAAATCCTATCTATGCTTCCTCCTCTCCCTCAGTCAAAGTAGTTGTTCGTGCTTCACTTTCACCTAATTAGCAGTTCTGGAAGTATTACTTATTGAGTACTTTACCTACTAAAATGCTACCATGAGACTGAAATGAAAATATAAATTCCCAGACTGATTGTAAACTAATTAATCAAAGTATTAACAACAGCATCAGCTGCAGAAGCATGAGCTTAGCAAGGACTACAAAATGCATACAAGATCTCCATACCATAATTACACAGGTCCTCAAAATAGCTGAGCAGCTCAAATAAAAAGGGAACAAAAGGAATATAAAATGGCAACAAGGAATGGAACAATTTCCATATCAGGAATTACTAAATAGTCTAAAACTTTTCAGCACTGAAGAAAGATGCTAAGGTGGTAGAAAGGTGTTTTTACAGAGCCCAGATTATGACTGGCCTAAGGAATGTAGAATAACTACAGAATGATTCTTCACTCTCCTATGTTTCTTATGCAAAACCAGAGGAGATTGAATTAAATTATAGGGAAGGCAATGCAAAATCAGTAAGAGGAAGTAATTTTCCTTACAGTACATAAGGAAACTGTACATCTCATTGACACAGGATGTGCTGGATGCCAGAACATGACATGAGTTGAATAAAAAATCAGAGAAATTCATGGGGATAGGCGGAAAAAAAACACTAAGGCCACCACCTCTGGTTTAGAAAACCTCTAAGCAACAAATGGCTGAAAGGTGGTTGAGTAATGTGGAAAAATAACTTCATGTGCTTATCTTGTTCCTGTACTTTTCCTTCCTGGCCACTGTCAGAGAGAGGATTACTGTGCTCGATGGGTCTTTGATCTGACCTCACGGTTATTTCAGTATAAACATCACAAAGAGGAGGTCAGCCAGGGCTAATCACCCAAATGGTTCCTCAGTTCCCAGAAGTGTTTTGCAGACCGTGATACAGTTCCACAGCCACACTGTCAGCAGTGCAAACACGGATCAATCATATAAAACCACTTCAGCTATGTGTCTATACAAGCTGCAGTCACACACTGGAATAAAGTGTAGCCAGATCTGTACTGATGAGGGAGTCTCCCTGGCTGCTTTCCTGGTGCTCTTTTTAGTCTTGCAATGAGAATAGAAGTGGATTTAGTTTGCCCAAAGGCTGAAAATTCTCATCTGTATTTTCATTTAAAATTCTGGGGAGTTTTGTTGTCCGCAGATGAGCAAAACCAAACCTAGAAACCACTATTTCAACTTTACAGCAGTGTCCAAAATGAGTTCGATGAATCTCACTCTTCCTAAAGTCCATTTACGATCGCTTCTCTCCCCCAATCAAAATCGCCGATTGTAACCACAGGAAATCAACATGTCCCTATTTCCTAGACCTTGATGAATAAGAAAAGCATCTAATCACCCATATGTTGTTGTTTTTTGTTGGTTTTTTTTTTCCACTAATCAAAGATTACATTTCTTGGAGAATGTTTTGTTGTGTATACACAGCAAAAAATTACAGCTCCCATAAAGTTTACTGGTGGAAATATAATGTGCATACTTTATGTATGTGCTAAGTCTGATAGATCAAAAGATTACTTCAAAATGACATAACTGGATAACAAAATAAAAAATAATAAAAAGAACATTGGCACAATGTCTGCAAGGAACTGCATCTTTTAGAATATATGTCATCAATCAAAGGGGGGGAATAATTTGTTACTGTGCTGCTTGCCCTTCTGCTTTGGTTTACATTCATTTGCAGACAGATACGGTTCTGCTTTCCCTGAGTAGGCCTCATCTAGACAAGCTAGCTTAGTTCTTCCACTATGATTGCTGAAGCATGGGACACAGGTCCAGGTCATTCTCCTCACAGCCCTAGACACAGAACAGTTTACAAAGAGAAAAAAACTGGAACAACGTTGAAAACAAAACTCTTCAAAAAACATTGAAAAAAGAAACAAAAATTGAAATAAAATTATGAACACAAATACATCAGAGTTTGATAATATTAAATCACACAATAAATTTAA